GGGGTGGCAGTGGTGGGTGAGGACTTCTCGTCCCAGGGCCTCGCTGGCCAGAGGGATATGCAGAAAAGAGACTGAGAGGTGTGGAGCGGTGTCTACCTTTCGGGCAGGCTTTTGCAACCCCAGTTTCTCCAGAAAGCTGCTCCCCACAGCAGCCGGGTAAGCCAGCAGCCTTCACTACAGAAGCTGTGAAGACAGTGGTAAAGGGTGGCATCATTTCACCCAGCACCACCCTCAGAGCAGACTCCTCAAACTGTGGCACACAGACCTCCATCCCCGGTGGGAGCCCCTTGAAGCGAGTGCTTCAGTACAGACGTACAGGCTGCCTCGGACCTCTGTCCTCAGAGCAAGGCCTGAGACTGGGCACTATGCTATCTCTCAAGCTCATCTCTGAGGTCTGTGTGCCATGCCACAGGGAGGAGGCGGCTCTGGCCAGAGTGGGCCGGCAACACTCCTCACTTCCTCCACCCCCAACCTCCCTGTGCTTCCAGCCTTTCGGCAGAGGGCTTCTGAGGAAACAGATAGCTGCAGCCCCCCGCCCCGCCACCCCCTTTGAATTATTCAGCAAACATGACCCAGGCGGTGATTTTATCTGTGGGAGGCAGCAGCAGAGGCCGAACTCTCTGATTTCTGGAAGAGATAGGTGTTTGCACAAGTAGGCACGTGGCCAGGCGGTTTGTAAATCAGTGTCGAATGTGTTTTCTGTGTCCTTAGGTGGTGCAAACTGGTGGCATAGTGGTTACGTGCTGGGCTGCAGTCCACGAGATTCACAGTTTGAAACTACCTCCTGCTCCTTGAGAGTAACACACACTGAGCTTTCTACTCCCGTAAACAGTTACTGTCTCAGAAACTTACAGGGGCAGTTCTACCCTGTCCTATTGGGTCGCTGTTAGTCAGCATCGACTCAGTGGCCGTGAGTTTGCTTTTGAGCATGGTGCATATGACATATGTCTATTTGTTGATGTTCCCTGTGAGTCTGCATCTACTCACTAAGCAGACTATTTACGTGGAATATCTGAGTCCCGAGGAGGCGGCACTCCCAATACCACGGCTCCATCTGGTGGGCGGAACATCATCTCACCCAGGTGTGGGACCTGCCTGTCCCCAGTCCCGGAGTGATTCATTCTGGTTCTCAATGTCTCTGAGCTTAGCCCGTCAATTAGCGGGGTGACTAACTGGGGAGGTGTGTGGAGTTGAGCAGGCTGACCTGCTTTGGCCGGAAATAGCAGGCAAACTTAGCTGCAGTCAACACCTTCTCCCAGAGCTGTTGGTACAGGTTCCCTGGGCTGGCCTGACACACAGGTATTTCTGGACCACAGCCCAGCCCGTTGCCATGAGCTTCCTGCCAGCACTTCTGGTCCATCAGCGTGGGGCGTGGGCCCCGACTTGACAGTGGGAGCCGTTGGGACCCTCCCAGCTCCTCACATGACGAGTCCCATGTTTCCACAGGGCGGCACCTTCCCATTTCTCCCTGGCTGCAGCCCTTCCCATCACAGTTGAGCACCTGCTTGCCTGACGTTCATTTCCAGAAGCAGGTAAGGACTGAGGGGATGGGCTCCGCCATGGACCTTAGATGGGTGACAGGCCAGGGGCCAGGCACAGTGCCGGCCAGATCATGAACTAAGTTAACGCCTCTTCTTTCTCTTCTATATCCTTTCCATAATCTTCATTGCTCAGGTGAGCCGGTTCTTAGGGTGAATGTGGTGGGGTTGGGGGTGGGGGGCAGGTACCAATTTGGTTTAGCTGTTAAAATGTGTGCAGGCTTGGAATTCCTGCTGAGAAACGCTTTCCAAAGCAAAAGCCTGTAGTGCATTGTGTTGGTGTTTGTATTGTGAACTGCAGACTTGGGTTTTGGTATGCTCACCATGTCCTCTTCTAGCAAAGGCTAAGTGTACACACTTAACCTATACCTTGGTTTGTTTTTAAAATGGACAAAATGAAAGATAGGTGTCAGGACCCCTGGGGCAGAGATGCTGTCTTCAGAAATGATCTCTACCCAGGGAGTGTGTTGAAGGAAGAGTGACCTGGACCCACAAGCCAACTCAGGCACCCTGGTCCACCCTAGGCCTAGCAAGCCCCAGGCCCATTATAATGTGAAGTATCTGAGGCCCTGGGGCCGTGAGCCCGTTGGGGCATATCCCAGTGAAGGCTTCTGTGGGTAGGGGCCATTGGAGAGTGTAAACTTTCTGCTCTGGAACACACCTGAAAATGCAGCATGATCCTGTGATGTGAGTGCCTGCCATGTACCAGGATCCCCAGTAGGCCCTGGGGACGTGTCTGAGAGAAATCCCTCGGTATTGCTCTGGTCCCTGGCTCTGATACTAGGACGGAGTGGGTGGTAACATGTTCCACTGCGGGTGTCCACTGGGACTAAGGGTCGGCCTGCTTGAACCAGACTGGAGCCCTCCCTCCAGCCTGTTGGGATCAGAGGATGAGGGGGTGGGCTGGGGTTGGGGGCGGGCAGTGGGAATGCTGGTTCTTTTGTGTGTGGCGACACCTAGTGGCTGGTCACCTCTATGTCACACTCACAAAGCTAACTGCTGTGGAGTCAGTTTTGCCTCATAGGGGACAACTACTCCTTAGGAACGCCGAGACTAAAGCTCAGAAAGGTGACAGCCTCGTTTTTCTCCTGTAGAGTAGCTGCTGGGTTTGAACCATCAACCTTGGAGTTAGCAGCCCAACACTCAACCCACTGCCCCACAGGGCTCCTTTATAGCTACCCTAAGGGGAGAGAAAACAAAAACTAGCTCTTGAGCATAAGACAGCAGTGTCAGGGTTTTTACTTGTGATGTTGAACTCTTAATTCAAGGCAGTGCAGAGCATGTCCTATGCCCCGGGAGACCTTTGGAAACGAGTCCACCCAGGGGCACCTTGGAAGAAGGGCCTGGCAGTCTGTTTCTGAAAAGGCATCCGTTGACAAGCCCATGGAGTTGTGTGACTCAATATGCATGGGCTGCCCAGGAGTCAGCGTCAGACTAGGAGGCAACTAACTGATAAGTGGTCTGGGTAATGTGCTCATCCACGGCATACACATTCTTCAGGGACCAGTGTCCTTTAAGAAGGCGAAATGTGGTTATGGAACCTGGTCCAGGGTTTGCTCGCTCAGCAAGAGGACCCATGAGCCTGAATTGATGTAGACATAGCAAAGGCCCGGGGCATAGGCATGAACTGTCTCCATTCATTCAGTCTTCGGGAGGCACTAGGGCTGGTGCTGGCGTGTGAACACGGTGGTGTGTGAAGCTCTTCAGCAGGTGGAGATGCTGCACACTACGCTCTAACAAGATGCTGCCAGAAAATCAGGACAAGACCGAGTCAGGAGACTGAGTAGCTGGGCAGAGGGTGCAGAATGATTGGTGTCCATCACACCTTCAAACCGAAAACCATACACATTGCCATCGAGTCATTGCTGACGTATAGTCATCCCTGTGGGTTCCCAAGACTGTAACAGCTTACGAGAGTAGGAAGCCCAGTCTTCTTCGGAGCTGCTGCTGGTTTCGAACTGCCAACCATACAGACTGCAACCAAACACTATAACCACTACACTACCAGGGCTCCTGTTACAGAAAAGAAAGGCTTTTCTCGGAAGAAGGTCTCAACCTGGGCCCTGAAGGATGAGAAGCAGCCATTTCCAGGCTGAAGGGACAGCCAGTAAAAGGCCACGAGGGAAGGAGCTGCAGACAGCAGCTCAAGGCATGAAGGCTTCATGGTGATGGGGAGGCAGGGCAGCAGGACCTGGCCCCAGGACTTGGGAATGCCCTTCCATGACCTGACATTCCAAGGTAGGGAAAGGATGTGAAGGTTTCTGTTGTGGTTTTACCTCAAATTAAGAATCCCTCTGGCTACTGGATGGAACAAAGGAGGAGAAGGGAGTGGGGAGAGGAGGTGGTCACTGCACCAAAGTACAGGTCCCCCAGCATCCACAGGGTGCTCCAGAATGGGCTGTGGAGCAGGTAGGGAGGCGGTGAGAAATGGGGTGGACTCGTGTCACCACGGCCTGGTGTCAGAGTGACGGCCCCAGGGGAGGGCGAGGGGAGCAGACAGTAGAATAAGGAGAGTTTGTGCGTTCTTTAGTGCAGTCCCTGGGTGGTACAAGTGGTTAATGCACTCACGGCTAACCCCCAGGTTGGAGGGAGGCTTGAGTCCACCCCGCACCACCTCTGAATCCCCCTGGAGCACAGCTCCACTCTGACACCCAGTTAACCGCGCATCGGAATCGACTCCGTGCCAGCTGGCTGGCTTGGGCCTGGCCATCTCACACGCACACACCTGCTACCCAAGCCGTGATTTGCCAGCTCTGCAGTCTGTTGTCTGCCCTTTTGGGCAAGGGCCCCATTTGCTTGTGGGGTGGAGTAGTTGGCAACTCCTGCTGGGAGGCTCTGCGGGGCAGAGAGCTGCCCTGCCTGGAGAGCCTGCCTGTCCAGGGCTCTGGGGGCCGGGTGGGAGACAGGGCCTTGGCCCACCAGCCAGCGCAGTCCCTTGGCCCTCCAAGTACAGCTCCTTGGCATCAGGGCTGTCCAGGCTCCACCCCCACCAGCTGCTGCGTTATTTCTGACTCATCCAAGAGTGTCAAGTGTGTAACCAAACCCCTCCACACCCGGCTTCCTCCCCTCGGCCCCTCCTAGAGGGAGGACACTAGGGGTTTTTCTCCTGGCACCTTCCTGAGTGTTGGGTACACCTGGACCCAGCTGCTGGACACCACAGCTGCCTGCTGAGCCACCCTGTGACAGGTGGGGTGGGCTGTGAGGGCAGCCCTCGGAGCTTGGGTGGGTGCCTGTGACCCGCAGCCCCCAGCTAGCCTCTCTCCACCGAGGGACTCCTTGGCACCTAGCCCAGGAGCTGGCCTCTCATGGAGGCAACCTTCCCTGGGTTTGGGGGCTGGGCATTGCTCTCGAGGGTTCCAGAGCCCAAGACACAAGCAGCTCCTGCTAGCTGTGTCCCTGTGCCCTGCTCCCCAGGGGAAAAGGTGCTGGCTCTGGAAACCAAGGACTTTGGGCTTCTCACGCCACATCCCTGACCTCGAGAGTGGCCGGCTGGCAGCAGCCTGTGTGGAGGGGGCTGGAAGGCGGGCCCCTCTGTACCCTGGGCCCCACAGCTCTGCACACAGGAGCACAGGCAGGCTGCCCCGCTCTATGCACCCCTGCCCTGAGCTCTGGAGGATGAACGCCCAAAGCTTCTTGCTGCCTGATGAACCCTTGCAAAGCGCCCTGGGAAGGTGTGAGCCACCCAGCAGGCGCCTCTCCCTGGGGTGCCTCTGCCTAACCGCCCTTCTCAATGCTGCGCTTCACCCCACAGGGATCCCCAGCGCTGGGCCAGGGGGATGAACCGCGAGGGGGCGCCCGGGAAGAGTCCGGAGGAGATGTACATTCAGCAGAAGGTCCGAGTCCTGCTCATGCTGCGGAAGATGGGCTCCAACGTGAGTTCGCCAAACTGCCCAGGGCGGGGCCCACATGGGGGGCGGGGGGTGGGGACCGGGCCCCTATAGCTAGCAGGCTCAGGGTACAGTGCTGCTAGACTTGTGGGTGGCCCAGGGTATCCAGTCTCCCCATCCCTGTATCCTGACCTTCCTTTCTCCATCCCCAGCCCCCAGGAGACTTCCCTCTGGGGGGCTGCAGTGGCCACCACCTTCTGGGAGGGCCCTGGGCTAGACTCAAGCTCAGATTCAAGCAGGGCACAGTGGGACTGGGGGTGGGTTGGGGGAAGGCCTGTGAGAGAGAGACTGTTGGCTCCTCTTACTGTGCTCCAGCCCTAGGGGTTGGTGGGTCAGGGCTTTGGGCAGGTGGGAGCAAGGGTGCCGCCCTCACAAGCGGCTCTCTCCTGCAGCTGACCGCCAGCGAGGAGGAGTTCCTGCGGACCTACGCAGGGGTGGTCAACAGCCAGCTCAGCCAGCTGCCGCAGCACCCCATCGACCAGGGTGAGTTGGAGACAGTGTTGAGTCTCGTCTCTTCCAGACAGTGCCCAGAGTGGCGATACATAAGAGAGGTGTGGGGTAGGCAGCTGAGTCCCGGTGTGGAGCTGGGAAGCTTCTGGCTTTCTGTCCTGCTCATCTCCTTTCCCAGGTGGGAGCCAGGGACCCACACAGGAAGATGATGGGGTCCCTTCTAAGTATGGAGGGACACCAGGGTCCCCTGTGACCACAGAGACTCTAGTTATTGCATTTCCTCGACCTTTGACCTCAGAAGTACCCTGGCTCCCACCTGCTGACCATCCTGTCCAGGGGAGCGCAGTCCCCTGAGTGTGCTAGGACAGGGCTGTGGCCAGAAGGGATGCCTGAGGACCTGGACGCCACTTTTCACGGACTTTGCCATGCTTTGGGTGCCCTCAGTCAGCTGTGATAACGATAACAGGTGACATTTATTGTAGCTGCTGAGCACCCTCAAGTTGATCCTGACTCGGCGGCCCCATGCCACAGAGTAGAGCTGTCCCACAGGGCTGTCATCCGTATTGCAGCGCATCAGCCAGCCTTTCTCCTGCAGAGAGCACTTCTTGAGTGTCTTTTATGAGCAGGCACTTAGTACATGTCATTTCACTTTAGACAGCTATGAGTCTGGTGACTGCCTGGGTAAGGAGACTGGGGTTTGGGAGCATTAGTCACCTCCGTTGGCCACACAGCTGTCACTGGGGCCCAGGATGCAGCTCGCAGCCCCACTGCAGAGCTCAGTCAGCGGGCACGCCTTGGCAGCTACTCGGGGCTCTTTCTTTCTGGGCGGTTCATCTCAACGCTGCCGCCAGTCCTTCCTTCCCTTCTTTTATGCTGAGCTGGACTTATTGACTCTAAGGTAGTCTGACCTCTGGCATGTCCAGGCTGAGTGAGTTCCCAGAAGCAGAGTCCTGACGGGCCTGCCCCCTCCTTGGTGGGAAGAAGGGCAGGCTAGGCACTCAGGGACTGTTTCTCCCCATGCTGACCTAGATCCCAGCCCGCCCAGTCCTCCTGCACGTCACAGGGCTCTGCCCTGGTGCAGGGGCTGGTTCCCCAGCTCTGAGGTCGTGTGTGGCCCAGGCTGTGTTCCCAATTCAGCAGAATTCCCACCAGGCACTCTCATGGCTCAGGCCACTCC